GCAGTTGAGTTCCGCTAGGGTTTATGCGGACTTCATGCTTGTGCGAAACTTTCCAAACCGAAAAAAGATTGAATCCACACCCGGGCACAAACAAAACTTCTGGCACAGTAATGTCTATGTCTTCCTGTTTCCCGTCGGCTCCGATTTGGTGGAACCGAAGGTCTAAGCTTCCTACAGCTGCAACCTTGATGAGAGCCGAGTCTCCAATTTGAATAAATTGTTCATCCTGGCCCAAGTGGCGAATGTCGTACATGTGATCTATCTGGTTCGAAATCATCGCGCTCGCTCCAGAATCGGCCTGCCACTGCTCGCTACCCTTCGGATTCGGCATGTACGGTTGGCATAGAAAAGCTTTGTCTACTGTGGGACGCTTGGTGACACGAGCTACAATTAGCATTCCAGATACATCAGAGGCAGCAGGCACAATCTTATCCGGCTCAGCAGTCGCGATCACAGCAGGCATAGAAGGCACCCTCACATCATGGACAGCATGCATTATCCCATCAGACTCAGTACTCACAACCACGTCAGGCACAGCGGGCACAATCGCATCAGTCTCATGAAAATCGGTCTCCTTCTCATAATTCTCGAACATCGCAGACAGACTCGGAGAAGCAACCCTGTGCAAATCTTGCTCAGAAAAACAGTGATTCCTATCGTGACTCGCAAGCATTTCAGGGTCAACACCGGGTACAGCAGGTACGAAAACGTCAGACGCCTTAAAACCAAACGCAGACTCAAGAAAAGAATCAAACTTGCCTCGAGGGCACACACTTCGTGCCATGAAGAGACGAAGAGGGGCGTCGCCAGCAGGAGGTAGAACGTCGCCTGGATCTGGAGAGATTAATTGTACCATTCTCCGCTGTTGTGCTACTGCTGTACTAAAAAAAAAAAAAATGAAGGCAAGCAGAGGAAACCTTGGTGCGTGATCCGGGCGGGAATGCATACTCTACGCGTGTTGTTAAAAAGGGCCTGAGTCCCAAGGTATCCGTCATTTGAAATTTGAAATTTACGACAACTTACTTCACAACCAACCGCCAAAAACGCAACCCCCTACTTCCCGTCAACAGAATTGCCGTACACAGCAGCAGTACCACCGTACGGTAGTCCCGCCGAAAAATGACACCATACTCGTGTTTACCGCCTCCGCCGTTACCATCACAAAACGCGAAACCGCCCACCGCCTTCCTCAAAGTAGTTACTTACCAGCTGTTTGACTTGTCTCGAGACACGGAGCACCGCCGCTGGTCCCACTTCATAGCCCCTTTTAACTAATTGATTTTGCGCTGTTCTCTTGGACCATTCCCCCCCTCCGCTTCCAAACACCGCCGGTCGCGACGATCCAAACGAACATTACACTCAGGTGCCACTCAACCCCATGCCAAAACTACAGCTCCTCCTCCTCCTCCTCCTCCTCCTCCTCTTCCCGTCGTCCCCCTCCTCCTCCTTCCGCCATCGCCGCGGTAACCACCCTCACCCGCCCCGGCCCGTCCTCGGCCTCCCAAACAATCCCTCCCTCGCTACTACCACTACGTGTACTATTCTTACCCCCCCCTAGGAGGCGATCAACCCGCAGACGCCGTCGCCCCGCTTCCGCGACACAGGCCGCCCACGTCTGCTTGGAAACCAACGACGACGAGAGCTCGGTCGCCACCTCCTCCCCACCACCGCCCCTGCCGCCGCAGTCGCCGCTGCTGCCGGCGACGACCCCCTCCTCCCCGTTACCGCGGGCGCCGTTCCCGCCGTGATGATCCCCGCGGTGGCGGCGGCGGCCGCCGGCGCCGGCGCCGCCGAGCAGACAAGTCAACCCTTCCGCGGTAGCTGCAAGCACGGCTTCGGTTATCAGTCGCGGCGACGGCCCCCCCGGCCGCTGCTGCGGCTCCACCAGCTGGAATCTAGCCGAAGTCATCTCGTCCTGCTGGTTTCGCCCATCTTGGTGCGGAATGCCTCGTGCCACCGACTGGAAATCCTCGATCGGCAGGCGGCGGCGGCGGGGGCGAGGTCGGTAGTAGGGGGAAAGCTCCGAGGGGCTGAGAGCCGCGTCCGACTCCGGAGAAGACAGTACCTCCTGGGCGTTGAAACGTGAGAGCGGGTACCACCAGGGGTTGGGAGGCAGGAGGTCACGTTCAAAGTTTGCAAGAGTGGAGGGCGGCACCGAGGCCGCCATTCTTGTTTTTTTTTTCTGTTCTTTGGTGGGGGGTTCAGGTTCACATACTTGGAACTGCATGTTGGTTCACGCATCCCCCACTACACTCTCCTCCTGGGGAAGGCGGGCAAAACGAACTTCCAAGTGTTTTGTGAAACGTCTGGCCGAGATACTTTTACGGTCGCATCGTTGGGTAGCGGTCCTTCTATGCCACTGAATCGCTGTGGGGAATAGTTTGTAACGTAAATTTTCCGGCCACGAGCCCTACAATAGCAGTAAGACTACCGGCAGCGCTTTCCCTCCGGCGGAGCGGACCCCCCCCCCCGCGACCACACCACTACGATAGCCTCCCTCCCGCCATCATTTTCTCGGGAGGGGCTTCTACCCCCCCAAAGGGACGAGCAGGAGGACAGGAAGAGGGGCGTGCGCGAGTCGTTTCGAGCGCAAGAAAAACTGAGCAATTGCCCTCGACCCGAACCCTATACTGCTGGTGTCGGGAAGCTTTCTCCGGTCGGGAGGGGGGGGGGGAGGAAACGGCGGAACCCCTCGTCATCGTCGTCGTCGTCGTGAAAACTAAAACTCACAAGCAGTTCGTCCGCGTACTCTCCGAGCAGCGCCGCCGAGGGACCGCCGCCGCCGCCGCCGCAATCGGCGGCACCACCGGGCTTGCCCGCCGACGCAGAGGAGGAGGCATCGTCGCCCAGCGCCACCAGCGCTATCAGGATGTGCAGCACCAGGGAGCGGAGGGCGACCTCTAGGTCGCCGGCGTACCTGTGTCGGTCAAGAAAGAAAACGGGGCCATCAATAGGGGGAACAAGGATCCATCGAAGGGCACAAATAGTTTATAGAAGAAGCCCATATCAAACCATTGGACTAAAAGAATTAGCGCTGACTACATAGTCTTGATGGTTTGATTTTGGCTTCGGTGAAAGACATAGTCGTGGGGTCTGCTAGTCTTTAGAGACGTGGGGTCTGCTGTTTAGTCTCGTTGGTTTGCTTCCGACTCCTGTAAAAGTGATGAACGACCCTACGTGACTCCCTCATTCCGAGGAAGGACGACGACTCCCCTCGATTTCGGCTTCTGTAAGTCAACGATGGGGACAGGTTAAATGTTGTTTGTTCGGATTGGGGTGCAAGCACGGCACGGAGGTTCGTGCATTGGAAATCGTGTGGGTGGGTACACAGCAGTCGCGGCAACTATGTTTGATGAGGGCGAGCAAAACAGCGACAACCTCTCCCCCTTCCCTCTCCCCTCCAAATACTTCTAACGACTCTGATGAAAGCGCTAAAATCAGCGACAAGACCCCTCCCCCCCTCCAAATACTTGAATTTTTGTGTGGCTTGGCTCTCACCTCATCTGCGTGGGGTCCGCCACAACGGAGCGGCTCTTGCAGGCAGCAAGACCCCGGAGACAGCCGCCCAGTATTGACGGCAGCTGGTCGCCGTACGCGCGGGCGTCGAGGACAGCCTTGAGCGCGTGGGCGGCGTGGGTCCGTACCTTGAGATGATTGTCGTCCAAAACGGCCCTATTCCGATTGTTGTTAATTGTTCAATTTGGTGTGGATATTCGCCAGAAGAGGGGGGGGGGGGGGGGGGTGAAACGAATGGCACCAACAGCAGCACAGCAGTAGTAGCAGCAACACAGGCCTACACCGGAGGAGCGGCGGAAAAAGCCACAAATCTCCTCGCGCCAAAAGCCGGGTCGGAACGCCAACAATGTGCATGAACCCGAGAGGCGGTGACAACCGCGCACTTATCTCACTACGTAGTAGGCGTACCGAGGCAAACCTTCGGTGCCGTCATCTGGACTCACGGATCTGTTTCGGGTGCAAACGGCTTGGGTGTGGGATGATTCGATCAAGAGATGGGAGCGTCACATACGACTGGACTTTTGTGGGAAAACATTCCGCCGGCACTTTCATCTACTTGAAAATAGAGTACTCTTTTGAACGGTCCCTCCACAGATGAAGCAACGCTTCGTGTCACCAGCGATGCTTTCATCTCTAGATAGAAGCGCACCCCACACCCACCTCGCCTGCGTCCGAGAGAGAACGGTTGGCGGAGGTGGCAACATCGAAGGCTTGGCCTCGATGCGTCAACTACGGGGTGAAAGACGTGAACAGGCAGGGTTGTCTGCCCTCAAGCTGGAGATGTGTGCCCTCCGTTGATGACGCACGTGCAGAAGCCAGGGCGAATATATATATTTTTTTCGTGCTCCTTGATCATTTTTCTCCGCTGTCGGCGCCCGTGGCGTCGATACAGTATGTAGCCAGGGTGCATTAGAGGCCCTCGCGAATGTGCCACGTGCAGATTTGACAGCGTTATGGACGATAAGGTAGACTGACCTGTGGTAATCTCACCGTACCCACCAAGATTTGTGAGCCCGCTCCAAGATTTGCCCAACAAGCTCGAGCAGACAGAGATCTTGGGTCAAGATTTGCTCAAAAGGGCGACTTTTTGGCCGCAGACAAATCTTGGCCCAAGATCAAGATTTCACCCAAAGATTGTGTCCCGAAAAAGATGGATTTGATTCTTGAAGAAGAAACAAATGACCAATACTACAACCAGCACTGACTGTTGTCCGGGAAAATGGCGCGCATATATACGGGCCAGCGAGCGCCCGTACACAAAACGAAACACGAACGACAGCAGTTGCAGCAGCGACTGCATTTCATGGACGAAATAGTCAACAACCTTTCGTTCCCTTCGGAGGGGTAAGCAAGCAAACAACAAACGAGAGCTTGGCTGCGCCGTCTCTGAGCCCAAAGAACACGAACGGCGAAGCACATCCCGACACCATAATATCGTGTGTACTGGGAACGACCAAAAGGCACATGGAGGTAGACAACAGCCAGTGAAACGCGACCTCTCTCACCTCCCTAAGGACCGCATGAGCACGGGCGCCCACTGGGCCCTCGCGGCCCTCGCTCGCACCCCCCTCGCGGACAGGACAATCCCAAGGGCGATGCAGCAGTTCCACCTGCGGTTCATGGGAGTATACAGGAGTATACAACAACGGGTGGGTTGCCCGTGGTTGTGGCGTGCATTCTAAGCGAGTTCAGTAACAAGATGCAGGTACTCTGCAACAAGAGAAGGTTGTTGGCTGCGGTGTGTACAAAGTGACGGTGCGACATTCGTAAGCCATACGGATACCATACCGACAACACGTGCTTGGAGAAAGTAGAAAAAAAACTGCAGCAATGTGGGGGTGCCCTTTCGGTTTCGGTTTCGTTGATTTAATCAGCTGTGGTGGCGTGACAGGGTTGATTGATACCACAGGCCCCCTCTCACCAGCAGCGGTTCTGACCTGCACTTTGCGCCCGCGATTTCCGCCCGCCGGTCCCCGCCGCCGCTTCCGCCACCACCCCCCGCCCCGTAATTTCCCAGCTCCCGGTCCCCCTTGTCCGGCGCCAGCCGTGTAGACAAGGCCAATATGGCCTTGTCCTGCAGGTCCCTGTCTCCTCCGTCCTCCTCGCCACTCTCGCCGAAGCCTTCCCCGCCCCGCTCTTGTACCGGTCTTCCGACGGCCGCCGCCGCCGCCGCCTCCACCGTCCGACCACTCGCAACGGCATCATCCTCGTCTCCTCCGACCGGTAACAAAGGCACCGCGCTCTCGTTGTCTCTTTCCCTCGCCTTTACGACGCCGTCTTTCCCACCCCAACCATCGCCGCCGCCGCCAAAATTGTCGGGGTCTAGCCCCCACGCCAGGTAGCCCAGGGCGCGAACGGCGCTGCCCGCGGCGTGGTCGGGCTCCGTGGCCGTTAGACGGAGGGCGCCGTCACAGAGAGAGCGAAGCCGCGGCCGCGGGATAAGGTCGCCGGTGCCGGCGCCGGTGCCAGCCGCGGGGGAGACCTGACAGTCCCGCGTCCCCTCTGGCGGCGGCGGCGGCGGTGGCGGCTGAGAGCAAGAGGTGATCGGCGATGATGATGATGATGACGGCGTTGGTGGCGGCAGCGAGCGGCGCCTCGACCGGATGCCGTGCAGCGAGCAGGAGAGGTTGCCTACGGCCAGCATGGCCTGAGCTCTGATGGTGGCCTTAGGTTTGTTGGCGTTTTGATTGGTTGTCGTTGCGTCGCCACGCCGCAACATCCAGGGGCCGCCGAGCAGGAAAAAAAAAGACAAGGCGTGCGGGGGCGTGCGGGGGGTATGTGGGCAAAGGGCTTGGGTTGTGCGATAGTAGTTGCGGTGAGTGAGGGAAGGCGAGACACGCCGGTGCCGGCGGAATTCTTGCCACGTTTGACAGGTGTAAGTTCCTCGTCTATAGTAGCAGACCGTGACCCCTCCATTCCGCCAAAAAAACAAAAAATGGTCACGATACTTCCGCCACCCTCACCGCCCAGTATCTCCGTTGTCCTTCAACGGATATACGAACACCCCTCCGGTTACACCCCATCGCCTGTCTCACCTTGGTATCCTCCATCATTTCTTGCAGCCTGGCGGCGCAGCGGTGTAGGAACTCGGGGTCCCGGCACCATGCCGCCGCACCCTCCTGGCCTGCCATGGTCATCACGCCGGCCACCACCCTGCAGGCCAGGATGTTCACACCTATTCAAAATACCACCGTCCGTAGCAGACCAAGGGCCGACGAGGTTTAATTAACAGTGCAGAACATTCCCATGGTGTGTATGCACGCGTGACAAAGGATCACTACAAAACGCATGTTCAGGGAGGGAACAGGGACGAAGGAGAAGTCAACGTTCACCGCAGGTTGTACCACGGAGTGGTGCGCAGCGATCACATGAGACGGAACCCCCCCCAGACAGCACTAAAAAAAGAAGAAGACAGAGCCACTCGTCTAGACACCTCCGGCACCTACCGGCTGCCCTGTCCCTCGTCGCGGCAAGCACCCTACCCAGGCACCGCTCCCTCTCCCGGTCAGAGAAGGCCTCCCAGTCCGACTTGAGCAGGCTCGCGTGGCACGAGCACGCCACCGCCCGGACGCCGTGGTAGGGGTCCTCCAACGCCCGCTGCAGGTGCTTCTGAACAAGATCCCTCCACACCTTGCCGCCGCTGCCACCACCGCCGCCACCAGTAGCAGCTACTCCCTCCGCCGATAACCCGCCGGCAGCGGCTGCCGTCTCCGAGCGAGGCTTCTGTTTCGGAGACACGCTTTCAGCGGCAGGGGCAGCACCACCAGCGGTCCCGGAAGACTTTTCCCCTGCCACCGGCAAGGCCTCTGCCGCCGCCGCCGCCTGCTCCGCCCGCGCGAGCAGCAGCGCCTCGAGGACCTTGAGGGCGTGGAGACGCAAGTTCTGGTCCGGGTCCGCGAAGCAACGGAGCAGGAGCGCCGAGACTCTCTCCCAGGTCGTCGCCGTCGTCTTCTCCGCGACCGTGCCTCTCGCGGTGCAGCCGCCGGAGAGGTGAGCGGGGTAAGACCGCCCGATGCGGGTGAGCAAGCCGAGCGCTTCCGCCCGCAGCTGGCCAGGCGCGCCGGCCAACGCTATCAGGCGATCTACGAAGGAGTCACTGCCGCCACCATCGACACCATCTCCACGGCCGTTGGCTCCTTCCGACGCTGACGCCAGGCCTGCTGCCGCAGCCGCTGTCGCCGCCGCCGCTGCTGGCGCTGTGTCGTCGTCGACCGTTGCCTCTCGAGGAAGCGGAGGGGGCATCTGGTCCGACGCCCTCACGCCCTCCCGGTCGGAAGCGCGTAGCCCTCCTCCTGCGCGTCCTCCTACGTAGGCTCCTCCGGTACCCCCGCCACCGTTGCTCCAACTGCTGTTGCTGCTATCACCGCCTCCGCCTCCACCACTTGCCCGTTCCCCGGGCGGCGACGGCTGCTTGTCCTGCTGCTCCTGCTGCTGCTGCTGCTGCTTGACACCGCCGTTACGAGCGACACCGCCGACGAACCTGTTCCCCCGGTCGTCGGCGCTGCCCGGCCGAAGAGGAAGCGGGGACCAGGCCCCCGACCCCGCCACCGCGTTAGCGCCGTTGCCGCGACGGGCGGCAGAAGCCGGCGATGACGGGGGCGGCGTTGCCCTCGATCCGCCCCAGCTGCCTCTACAGGAGGAAGGCAAGCCGCCGGCGGCCGAGCATCGGAAGCTGAGCAGGAAGGAGTCGATGGCGGCAATCGGCTCCTTTGTGGAGAAGACAGCCGTCAGGGCTTGCGACGCTGGCGGGTGGGGCAAGAGGCGAGATAAGGGAGGGGCGGGGGGACATCGATCGTGGTTCGCAACACACGCAGCAAGTTCGTTGAGAAGCGTAAAAACACTAACCAAAGCAGAAACGAGGCAATCACCCAAAAAGAGACCAAGGCCAGATGCACGGCGGGGGACAGGGAAACGACATATCTTGCTGACTTGTCTTGGGCTGACAGAAGAACAATTTGCCGTGGGCTTCCGTTTCTTCGCTATGGTGGCCGCTCGGATTCTGACGAAACAGGAATTACACGAAAACTGATCGGTTAAGACGCTCGATCGAGTGCCCAAGATTGCACACGAACCGAGCAGAGCAGAGCAAGACAACAAAAAAAAAGGTTGCGGCCGCCCCCGCCCCCGCCATCGTGAAAGAAAGAAAAACGCACCGGCAATTCTAGCGCTGGGTTCCGCAGCTACGTCCACCATCAGCCTCGCGAGCTCTCGCAGCAGGTCTCCTAACGACTCTTCCACACCGCCTCCCCCGCCCGAGTTCCCGCCGCCGCCACCGCGGCGAGAACCGCGCCTAGCACCGCTGCTGCTACCCCCTCCCCGCGGCGGCGGATGCGGCGGAGCCCCCGACGCGGCTTGGGAGGTCGCGTACGGCATCTCTGCGATCAGTGCACCGGTGCATGAACACAGCTTGGCGACCACGGCAGGCGACTATCAAGAGAGAGAGAGAGAGAGAGAGAGAGAGAGAGAGAGAGAGAGAGAGAGAGAGAGAGAGAGAGAGAGACGCGAACGGTCAGCCGCCCACGCCCGTGCGCCCGGCTTGTATCCCTAGGCTTTGTTTAGCAACCCTGAACACGACGGCAGGGTCCTTGCCCCCCCAAATGATAAAAAATAAAGAAACCGACGAACGGCGTTCGAACGGCTTACATCTCCCGCCCAAGGAAATCACATGCACCTACAGCCGTAGATTGCAGTACCTTTTCTTGCGCAAGGCAGAGCACAAGGCTCCGGTGAAGGCGCAGCATCATAGACTCCACGCGCTCCCCGATCCCGCCGCCCCCGCCACCCCCACCGCGCGTTGCCGCCGCCAGCATCATCCACTTCCGGAGCGGCGAGACCTTGACGAGGGCGGCGGCCGCTCCCGCCGCCGCCGCTCTCACCTGCGGGGCATGGTCACTCTCCATGATCGACACCAGCCCGGCCGGAAGCACCACCGGTCTCGTGCTCCCTCCGCCGCCTTCCGATACTTCTCCCGGCGTTGCTGCTGCCGCGTCGCCGCCGCAGGCCCCGCCGCCGCTTACGGCACCCGGCACGTACGGCGCGAAGAACAGCGCCCAGTGCGGGTACATGCTCTTGGCGTCCTTCGCGGCCATGGACTCCAGCAGGGCCAGGGCCTGGAGCCTGACCCGCGCCCTGGGGTCCGCAAGAGACGCAGACGCGGACGCGGACGACCTCGTGGGCGACACGCCTCCGGTGCCTCCGGCGCCGCCGCCGTATTCGCCGAAGTCTCTACCGTTTCGGCTCCGACTCCTGCTGCCGCTGGTACTCCGGCTCCTACCGCGTCCGCTGGCCCCTCGGGTGGCGGCGCGGCTTTGTAGGGATGCGAGGACAATTGGTCAAACGACT